AAATGAGACAGCAACCCTCCTACCCCCACCAGAATAGTGTCAGAGGAAGCCAGCTAAAATAGAAGATTAAAATGAGATCCAGAAGCTCATTGTATAGTACCCAAAATGTCCAGATTTACATTAAAAAATCACTTGGTACCAAGAATCAGAAAGATCTCAAACTGAGTGAAAAAATGACAATCAATAGATGTCAATACTGAGATAATAGAGTTGTTAAGATTATCTTATAAAGATTTTAAAGAAAGAAGCTATAGGAAAAAAATGCTTCAGGAAGAAATTCAATCATGTTCGAAACAAATGAAAAATAAAAAGTCTGAGCAAACAGAAGATAAAAGTGGAAATTTTAGAACTGAAAAATGCAATAACTTAAATAAGAAACTCAATGAGTGGGCTCAACAGCAGAAAACATAGGAAAGAATCAGTGAACTGGAAGATAGAACAATAGAAAGTACCCTATCAGAACAGCAGAAAGTATATTGGAAAAAACAAAAAACAAAGCAAATCGTGTCTCAGGGACCTGAGGAACTACAGTAAGTCCTCACTTAACATTGTTGATAGGCTCTTGGAAACTGCAACTTCCAGTGAAATGATGCATAATGAAAAAATTTTTTTTTCTTATCAATGTTATAACAAAGCATCGTTGAATAATGGCGCCATTTGAGGAGCTGCCGTACCACTGGTCCTTTCACTTAAAGTTGCAGTTTCCAAGAAGAACCTATCATGATGACATTAAGTAAAGACTTACTATGTAACAAAAGGTCTAGCATTTGGGTAATCAGAATTCCAGAGAGAAAGGTGAAAGAGGACAGAGCTAAAAAAGTAATTGCAGAAATAATGGCTGAAAAATTCTCAAATTTAGCAAAGGACATAAACCTACATATTCAGGAAGCCAACCAAATCTCAGACAGGATAAATTCCAAGAAATTCATGCCAAGATAGAGCATAGCAAAACTTTTGAAAACTAAAAACAAAGAAAAAAAATCTTGAAAGCAGCAAGAGAGAAATGACACATAATCTATAGGTGGAAAACAATTTGAATGACGCAGGTTTCTCATCAAAAACCTTGAAGGCCAGAAGTCCATGGCATAACATTTTTCAAGTACTGAAAGAAAAGAACTATAAATTAGTAATTCTGTATTCAGTGAGAATATCCTCTTAAATTGGAGGAAGTATGATTGAACATCGGTCCCCATCCTTTTTGGCATGAGGAACAGGTTTCATGGAAGACAATTTTTCTACAGACCGGGGTCAGGGGTGGTTTCAGGATGATTCAAGCACTTTACATTTATGTTGCAGTCAAATCTCTCTGCTAATATAATCTGTATTGGCAGCTGCTCCCTAATGCTAGCATCACCACCTCAGCTCCACCTCAGATCATCAGGCCTTAGATTCTCTTAATGAGCCTGCAACCTAGATCCCTCGCATGCTCAGTTTACTGCAGGGTTCTCACTCCTATGAGAATCTAATACCCCCTCTGATCCTACAAGAGACAGAGCTCAGGCGGTGATGCCACCGATGGGGAGCAGCTGTAAACACAGGTGAAGCTTCACCCACTGGCCTGCTGTTCACTCCTGCTGTGCTGCCCACTTCCTAACAGGCCACAGACCAGAACCAATCCACAGCCCGGGGGCTGGGGACCACAATGGTAAAGGATGCAAGATGTAGCAATTTATCTGGGAGGAATGTTCTCATGGTGGTGATACCCCTCGCTCTACTGCAGCCCTAGTTGCCCTGGGATCCTTCCCCTGAGTCCTCTAAGCTGTAATGTGGCAGGCTGCTAAGGAAGTTGTAGCTGCTCCCATGCCACCTGCCTTCACTGTGACTGCAACAGTCCTCGAGGGTAAAAGGCAGTCAAAAAATGCGAAAGTTTGTTCTGGTTGTATGTTCCAAGTTTTGCCTCCGTAATCCGTCTGCATCTGTTCAGTTTCCAGAACCCTCAGGTAGTTATGTTTTTTTTCTAAATTCTGTCCAGAGTTTTATAGCTGATATTTGTGGGAGGATTGGTTTGTTTAGACTCTTGATTCTCTGTACCAGAAGCAAATCAGGACTTATTTTAAATCTCCTATATTACTAAAATATTGGGGGCAGTTATGCAAATTTCTTGCATACACCAAGATTGGTATAAAACTTTCTTAAGATATAGTCAGTGACAACCTAAGACAAAAATGTAAGATTATCTTTCAGTAGTTACTCTAAGTGCTTGAAATCACAAAAATCTCATATTCTATACTAACATGCCTACACTTTCAGCGTGTTAGTATGAACTTTTAAAACAAAATTTTCAGCATGATTGCTTTATAAAGTTACTATAACAAAGAACTTGTACTTTCATTTCTTTGTAATAACTAAACCTCTCCCAATAGTCAAAGTATTTGCTTATTTATAATTAACAATTTGACTTATGAAAGGAGGGAACAGAAAATCTTAAAAATATATAGACTTAGAAATCTTGGCTGATTAAAAAAAAGTCATAATTTGGGATAAAAATGATCTGAAACTATAATGTACACTGGTAGTTTCAAAAAAATTATAACTTTCAGAATTTGAGAATATTTTACAATAAATGGTATATATAACTCTGGCATGAAGAAAGTTCACCTATATATTGCCTTAATAATATATGTAAAATAACTGTAATAATTCTGTTTGACTACCTCTATCCTTCCTGGATGGATACTGTCAGATATCCTCCAAAATCCTTTTTCCCATTTCCATAGAACCAAAGTTATAACTGTACTTATCTTGTTAGTAACAGCGTCTGTGACTCCTACTTGCAGTTAAGTGTAGCCACATGACTGAGTTCCTGCCAATAAAATGTAATGAAAGTGAGTGTGTCACTTATGACTCAGATGTTAACATACATTCTCTTTCCCACCTGCTAGAACCCACAGTGACCCAGTTTTGACCATGCAACAATGCCCCAGGGATGACAGTGCAACAGAATGGGTGGAACATGGGTCCTTTAATGATCACAATCAAAGGGAAACACTCACAATAGACTATTACATGAGAGGAACAGACCTTTACCTTCTTTAAAAACCTGAATTAATGTTAAGTGTCTTTGTTTCAGCAGACTAACCTTATTCTAACTAAGACATCTTGGGTTCAGTCTCAGCTCTTCCAGGTGATAGATAATAAGAGCAGGGAGAATAGTCTAAGCATCAGAGTCTACAGCTACTCTGCCCATGCCCTTTTATATGGGGTACCTGTCATTCCAAGTCTAAGCTTCCTTCCAGGCAGCTGTATCAGTTGATTAGTCAGTGGGACAATTCAGTTATAAATTATTGTCTACAGTAAGTTGTCTATCAAGGTCAACATAAAAAACAACAGATATGCTTAATTCCCAGCAGCTCTCTTCAGTGAGAAGACTAAAATTAACCATCTTAAAATAACTCACATTCTTCACCTCCTGACCTCATTCTCTCTGGCACAAACCCCACCCACTTCTCCCCAGTCTTCTCCCAGAAGTGAAGCTCAGACCTCAGGAACACTATTTTTAGCAATTCCAGGAGGTGCCATTCACATTGGAATACAATTACTGTTTCCTATACATGTTTTTCTAAATTATAATATTATTACCATTAAGTATAGGTTCCATTGCCAGGGACATTGGGAGGTGGGTAAAAGTTTTAGGTTTTTTTGTGAAAATTTAACTCTTTTTGGTGAAACACATACTATGTGCTTGGCTTACCTTACTCTTGAGGGCAGAAGAATGCAAAATATCTCATAGTCCTGCCTGCTTTGTCTGTTTTCTGTGTCTCTCCTTAAAATCTCACTGACCTGTACAATATCTCATGAATTCACTAACTTCCCATAGTCTGCTTCAAATATTTAATCTTAATATACTCCTTCCTCCAATACAATAGTCTCCATCTCAGTTTTTCTTCTAATTAATATCTCCTTCAGAAACACCTCATTCTCTCAAATCATGAAAGGCTGTTCCTTTTTCTAATTTCTTTTTTATGCCTTTGAATGCAAAAGAATTTCTGATTAAGATGCCATTTTGTAACTCTTTCTGTTAGAATTCCCATTGCCTGATAGCTCCTTGCTGAACACTTCTATAGTGATCTTGTGGTCTATCTTGGGTTCCAGATGTGTCTGAGATATCTGGAGACTCATTAAATGTGCCTGCTCTTCCTCTGTACAGAGCTTACTGCAGTTCCCAGCCCCACTGTGTTTTTTTTTTTTTTTTTTTGAGACAGAGTCTCACTTTGTTGCCCAGGCTAGAGTGAGTGCCATGGCGTCAGCCTAGCTCACAGCAACCTCAAACTCCTGGGCTCAAGCAATCCTTCTGCCTCAGCCTCCCAAGTAGCTGGGACTACAGGCATGCGCCACCATGCCCTGCTAATTTTTTTTTTTCTATATGTATTAGTTGGCCAATTAATTTCTTTCTACTTATAGTAGAGACGGGGTCTCGCTCAGGCTGGTTTCGAACTCCTGACCTTGAGCAATCCGCCCGCCTCAGCCTCCCAGAGTGCTAGGATTACAGGCGTGAGCCACCGCGCCCGGCTGCCCCACTGTGTTTTTTTTTTTTTTTTTTTTTTTTTGAGACAGAGTCTCGCTTTGTTGCCCAGTCTAGAGTGAGTGCCGTGGCGTCAGCCTACCTCACAGCAACCTCAGACTCCTAGGCTCGAGTGATCCTGCTGCCTCAGCCTCCCGAGTAGCTGGGACTACAGGCATGCGCCACCGTGCCCGGCTAATTTTTTATATATATATCAGTTGGCCAATTAATTTCTTTCTATTTATAGGAAAAGACGGGGTCTCGCTCTTGCTCAGGCTGGTTTTGAACTCCTGACCTTGAGCAATCTGCCCGCCTCGGCCTCCCAAGAGCTAGGATTACAGGCGTGAGCCACAGCGCCCGGCCTGCCCCACTGTGTTTTAAAGGACCATGTGACTAATTCTTATTACAGATTGGAAGGGATGTATCATCCTGAGGTCAAGGCAACTAAGAGAAAGTATGTCTTTTCCACTCTCTTTGTTTTTGCTCCTTGGCTGTCCAGAGGAAGAAGATCCAGGAAGAGCTCAAGATCCTAGAGGAAAGTGGAGCCATTAGATGAAGAAGCCTGGGTCCCTGAAGTGTCATGTGAAAGGCTACCTGTCAAACATTGAATTAGACTGGTAAGTACAATAAATAAGCATTTGCTGTTTAAGCCATCAAGATTTGAGAGTGTCTTGTCATGACTTTTTCCATTAAAAAAAAAAAAAAAAAAAGATTTGGGAGTGGTGGGGAAGGGATAAGAAGTGGAAGGGAGGGGAGAATGTTGTTACTACACGCTAGCTTCACCTACTCTAACTGTTACACCAAGTATTTTTTCCTCAGTTATACCTGAATATCCTCTAATTAGGACTTTAAAATCAAAGTAATTATGTGAAAATATTTAAATCACACAAAGGAATTTTAAACATTTTTAATGAAACATTTAACTCTAATATTTTCTACTACTAATTTTTCTTAATAGGTTGCTAGTCAGGTTGGAACCACCAATATCTTCTCACTAAGGAGAGAGTGTAAGAGATTTAGACAGTCTCAATTCTTAAGTAAATGTTTTAATTGACTTATACATACATGTAGAAAAGTACAAAAATCATGATTTTTTACAAGTGAATACCTTTGTATTATCATTCCCTGATCAAGAAATAAAATAATTATCTTCCTCCAAATGTAATTTCTACAGATTAATATTGCCTGTACTTGTATTTTATACAAATTGAATCATATAATATGTACTGTTATGTGACTGAATTCCTTTGCTTAATATTATGTTTGCAATTGTTTCATGCAGTAGATTTGTTGACTTTCATTGTTATCTAGTGTTCCATTTTAAGACTATACCAAATTTGTTTAAGCATTCTTCTGCTGATGGACATTTTAGTTGTTTCTATTTTGGGGCTATTACAAATCATGTTGCTATGAACATTCATATACATGTCTCTTAGTGCACTTATGAATGTATCTCTGCTTGGTTTATAACTAGGAGCAGAATCTCTGGGTCATACAATATGCACATATGCACATGTTCAATTTTAACACATACTGCTAAGTCATTTTTCAACATGGCCATACCAATTTACACTGCCACTAGTTGCTACCCATCCTAGCTAATTCCTGGTATTATTAACTTTTTTAATGTCAACCATTTTGATAGGTCTGAAATAGTATCCCATTCTGGTTTTAATTTGTATTTCTCTTATTAATAAGGAGTCTGAGCACCTTTTCATATTTTATTGGCCATTTATGTAACTTTTAGGGGGCATATATGAAATGGCTGTCCCAGCTCTTATCTCCTCCCCTTTCTCTTATTAATTTATAGGCATTCTTTATATATTCCAAACATGAATCTTTTGTCAGCTATATGCAGTGCTGCAAATATCTTCTCTTACTCTGTGACTTGCCTTTTCACCCTCTTAATTGGGTCTTTTGATAAACAGAAGTTTTTAATTTTAATGATGTTAAATTTATCAATATATTCCTTTTTGGTTAGTGTGTGATTTAAAAACTCTTAGCCTACCCCAGGTTCATAAAGATATTCTCCTATGTTATCTTCTAGAAGTAATATTGCTTTGATTTGTACAAGATCTGATTTTTGTGTATTGATTTTTCATATGAATATTCAATTGATTTGACACTATTTATTGAAAAGACTATCTTTTCCCCCACTACACTGCAGTGACATTTTTGTCATCTACCAAAGATGAGTTTATTTCTGAACTTTATTCTGTTCCATTGGTCTGTATATCTGTCCTTATGCCAATACCAAATTGTCTAAATTACTGCTTTAAAATAAATCTTGATATTGGTAATGAAAGTGTTCTAAATTTATTCTTCCTTACTTTCTTTTTATATGTGTCTTCATATAAATTTTAGAATTTGTTTGTCAAATTCTACCAAAACTCCTGCTGGGATTTTGATTGGCATTGTCTTGAATCAATAGACTGATTTGGAGAGAATTGAAATTTTACAATATTGTTATTATCAGATGATTTCCTGCTTATTCATTTTTAAAAATTTTCCTTATCTCATAAACTAGGATATAAGCTCCATGACAGCAGGGATTTTGTTTTGTTTACTGCTATATTCCATAACCTAAGAATACTTGGCATATTGTAGATTCTCAATAAATATTTTTTCCATACAATCTGAAGAGAAACCAGAGTATACTACTATTAAATTGGAACTAATTGATCAACACCCATGTATACATATAGTAGCAAAACTCAATGGAAACCAAGCAGGTAGGAGAAAGGAGGAGGGAACAGGTAAATTCACACCTAATGGGTACAATGCATGCTATCTTGGTGATGGGTGCACATATAACTTTGACTAAAACTACACAAAAGCAAATCATGTAACCAAAATGTTTATACCCCCATAATATTCTTAAATTTAAAAAAAACTTTGAAGCAGCTCATTAATGTTCTATTGGGATGCCTATTTTGTCCTCCTCTCCCTCTTTTCTTGGCCAATCCAATTTACCCTTCAGATCTGAAATCATATGCCATTTCCTCAGGGGATCCTTGCCTGGTCTCTCCAGCTGAGTCAGGCTTCCTGTTATTTGTCTCCTGTCTTGACACTCTGTATTTCTCTTTTCAATGTTATCATATAACATTGATACTGTTATATGATAATGGTTATTATACAGTAACTATATAATTATTTAATACCAGTCTTCTATCTAGAATGTAAGCTCTGTGAGGACAAGGACGAAATCTGTCTTAATTTCTTACTTCTACACTCCCAGTACCTGGCCTGGAATTGTGCATAAGACAGATGTCAAAAAATATTATGAATTATTTTCTAAAAGAGGCCTAAATTCCCTCTCTTTGCTGTTTCCTAAAAATGGAAGTTATTATATTGTCAACACTTTGCTACCCTAACCTCGAAAGCCTCTCTAGATGTTTTTGCTGCTTTTATCCTCTGGATCAGGGGTCCTCAAACTACAGCATGCAGGCCACATGTGGCCCGCCGAGGACATTTATCCGGCCCACTGGGTGTTTTTGCTGCTGCTGCCTGTCCTGCTTAGCAGCCAACTCGTCCCAGGCCCACAGTTGCACCGCACTCTCCAATGGCTCTCTAACGGTCTGAGGGACAGTGAACTGGCCCCCTGTTTAAAAAGTTTGAGGACCCCTGTGAGTCTGGATTATTTGATAGGCATTCTCTACCAAATTTTCTAGAGTGGGGAGGAGGTTCCTTCATGGCTCCCCACCCCAGGTTGGCTGAATCAGAAGACTATGTTCTAAGTCCAAGTCTAAGTTCCTAAATTGGACCTGGAGAAGCTACATTGCTAACAAGCTCTGCAAGTAACTGTTGCACTGATGAGTTTGGCACCACTTCTTTGGATCAGGTTCATGACTTTGCTGCTTTATCTCAGCACTCCATAATTTTTGTAACACTGCTCTGAGTCCATTTTCTCTCATCATTCCTGCCCATGTTGTGTTCTGTTTTTAATCTCAAGGCTGCGTTTCTCTTTGGCCACTTGCCCTCTAAGGACAGCTGGAAGGCCACCCTGGCTGCCTGGGTAAGGACCTCATTAATCTCATCTTTATCTTCCTGGTCATGCTGACCACCCCAGCTACAGGGGCCACACACTGTCACAGCTCTCTGCTCCAACTACAGAGACAATGCAAAGGAAATAGCCTAAGATTTGGAATCAGGAAACCAGAATGTGCATCTACACACAGTTGTTTGCTGTCTGTGTGACCTTGAAAATGTCACTTAACCACTCTTCACCTCAAGTATAATAATAATATCTGCCTTCTCTACTTCAGAGATATTGTGAGGATCAAATGGCATGATATATCATGCTAGAACTTTGTAAACTGTAAGTGGATATATAAATAGTAATAATAATTAATAACCTCAACAATCCAACTCTTTGCATGATGGGAGAGACTATTTATACACTGTGATTTTTAATAAGAAGGGACATCCTTGCTAGCACTGTCTCATTCCTTCTAAGAAATAAACCAACTGGCTAATTATTGTCTCCTCTGACTTCAAAATGTACTGGCTGTATAGTCAAATATCTTAACACTTTTTGAGACTTTCTATTTCCTAGTACTCATCTGTGTGGGTTACACAAACTTGCCTTGATAAAAGTAGTATTTTTCAACTAATGAAAATAGAAAAGCCTCAAGTTGTTTTTTTGAAAAGCCAAAAATATTGACCCACTATGTGATATAGCCATTTCCACCTCTCTAATGAACTTGAATTGTCCCTCCATTGTAGTCTATCACCCAATCTTGTTGATTGTATCCACTAGCTCTCAATTCCTCCCCACCACCCCATTGCCATTGTCTTATTCAAATTTTTCTCATCCTTACTGGCTACCACTATAACTCTCTCCTAACTTGTTTAGCTGCCTTCATTTGCTATCTTCCAATTGTTCCTGTATACTGCCATCAGTAATCAGCAAACTGTGGCATGTGGGCAAAAACCAAGCCATAAAATTTTTCTAGAACACAACTGCACTCATTCATTTATGTATTGTCTATTGCTGCTTTGGTGTGATGACTGAAGAATTGAGTCATTTCAACAGAAACCCTATATCCTATGTAGTGGGTTAAATAATGGCCCCTAAAAAAATGTCCACTAAGTCCTTGGGACCTCAGAATGTTACATTATTTAGAAAAAAAGGAGTTTGCAAATGTAATTAAATTAGGATCTTGAGATGAGATCATCCTGGATTACCTAGGTAGGCCCAAATTTAATGAAAATGTCCTTATAAGAAACACACAGAGGACACCTACAGAGCAGAAGGCAATGTAAACATGGAGGTAGAGATTGGAGTACTGTGGCCACAACCCAAGAAAACCAGGGAATGCCTGGAAGACACAAAGAACATAATCTTCCCCTTGAGCTTCTGGAGGTAGGGCAGCCCCTTGTGTTCTAAACAAGCCTCTTTGTTCTAAAACACATTTCATAGAGCTGTCTGCTGAGAGATATCTAAAGTAGAATCATATTATTTGTAAAGTTCCAGCCTTCATTTCTTAATCTCATTACTCTTTCATATTCAAGAACCATAGTCTCAATTTTTAAAGTTAAGAATAACTCATATAATCCTAGCACTCTGAGAGGCCAAGGCAGGAGGATCATTTAAGCTCAGGAGTTCAACACCAGC